TTTGCTGCCTTTTTCCATGAGCTTATTGTTGTTGTTGTTTTGTTGTGGTTTTTTGTTTTTTTGTCTTATACTGCCTTCTTAATTACAATACCTGTCTGTAGAGTATCTTGATAGTCGTATTTTGACCTACCATCATTTCTGGAAGAAATAGGACAAAAATCATTATTTGTTTCTCTTCCATTGAATCCTCTAATATATTAGTGCTCATGTAGAAGTTTAAATAATTTTTGAAGAAGGGTGCTGCTTTGGAGAGCAGGTTGAGGATCTGGAAAAAATGGCTTTTAGCAGAATAGTAATAAGTATTCCAGAATCAGTAGAGGGTTTGAGAATGCCAACATTCAGACTTGTCCATTAGTTTGTCTTTTAGAACTTTGTATTGTGGAGGTCTGCTTGCCTGGAGGAGCCTCCAGCTTACTAACACTACCCAACAAATGGCAAAAGTTATTCTTACATACTTCACTCCATAATTTTCACTTTATAATTTTCATTGGTTTTGCAAATTAGTCTTTGGATTCTTGGAAGAATGAAAGTAAAACTGTAGGACTGTTAAATTATTATTTCTATTTCTGACCTTCTCCACAAGGACAAAGTTCAAGACATGTTAAATGCAAATCTTGTTGTTCAGATTTTCATGTCAAATTGAATTGATTAATTAATCTTTCAAGTTGTTGAGTTTCCCAATACATGGCCAAAAATTGTAGTGATCATTTGAGGCCAACTAGATTAATGTCTCTCTCTCTTTTATTGCTCCAGTAACAGACTTGGGTTCTGTTGCCCCGGATTTCCTCAGGCCTAACCTGAAAGGCAGACACTACTGAAGGATGTGAATTATCTGGATGGGGAGAAATAATCTATTCAAAATATACAGCTAGCTCTATGGTGTGTTATATAATTGCAAGACAAATTTCTTTATATTAATACTTCTCTGGAGTTTTAAATAAAAGCTAAGGTTATTTTGTTGCTATTAATTTCCAAGTGTTTCGTGGCCAGCCTGCTTATTTTAGCTTAGATATAGGAATGAGCTTTTTATACAGCTGACAAAGTAGAATCTGTCACTGCTGTTGGCGTACTCTACAGGTGGCTTTAGATCTTTATAATTGAATGGTTTGCCTCCAAATGTCATCTGTTATTTTGCAAGTGACATTCATTCCATGGCATTGTACACAAATTCTACTTATTTCCTCTTTACCAGAATAGCATTTTTATGACATATGTTTATCTATACTGCAATAGTTAGGGGGAAATTCCAGTAGTACAGATATCCAATTGATGTTTTTTACAGATTCATTGGGAGTATTTTATTCAATAAAGTATGGGTTCCAGTTACTTCAGTTTTAAACCTTTGATAGGACTTGATTTGATATGAATGGGAACTTTCTGTATTGTTTCTTGAAATGCTGTATTTTCTTTCTTCCTGTAAGATACTAAGATTGAATATAATGTTATCTGATTTTGAAGAAAGAAGCCAAACTTAAATAAGTATTATCACTGCTCTTACAAGATAAATAACACAATCAGCAATTGTCAAAGGCTTGTTGCAGGCATTTCATCTTTTGTTACCTGAATGTGTGAAGTATTATTATTGCCTCTATTTCTACCATATTTCATGTTAGTGTAACAGAAACTACTGAAAACTGTCTCGGTTTGCCTAATTCAAAGTTATTAATAGTTTTGGTATTTGTAATGTGGTCAACTGGTTAAAGAGCAAAATTTAGCGTGGTATACTGGGAATGACAGGCCAATTTTAAGGGCAGTCTGAGGCTTTCATATTTGAAATCCTTCAATCACTTCAGTACTTTTCTACATTTCAGATAAATTAAATGTAGCCCTGAATTTTGTTCCCCCTTTTAGACATTTTTATCAGTTGCATTTGTGTCATCAAACTCTTTCCTTCACCTCCTAGCAAATAGGTAAGCATTCAGAAGCATTCAGTTTGTAGGATTATTTTTCCATTTACTGATTCCTTTATCTACTCATAAGTTCTCCTCATCTGCTATGTTGATTGATGTTAAGATAAACATTCAGTGTTGTATTTCAGAGCAGCTTGCTCATAGATTTTCTTAATTAAATTATAGCTTTTGCAGACACTGAATGATCTAATTCTCCATTCTACAAATGTGCTATGTCTATCCTTCATTTTATATCAACATTTGTCTATTTGTGGATGCAGCTGTGTTGACCTTGACCTTTTTTTCTTTATTTGGTTTAAATCACATGGAAATACAGTAGGGGTTACTTGTTAATTGTTAAAACAAATTGATCCAGAATTCTAGTTAACTTTTGAAATACCATTTTTATATCTGTAATTACCAATCCATATGTTAGATATTTCCGTGTAGGAAACCCCTAGTTCCTCACATTCCTATGGCCTGGCCAGGGTTCACGCCTTCCCTGCTGTGACCTGACCATCTCACCACGTGCACACCAATGTGATGTTAGGCAGGATGGCATTTATTGCAAGCGAAACAGCAACTTATATACTTTACATGCTTATCTATGTTAATGCTTATCTATGTCCCTATGTCCACGTGCGTTTACTCATGTCTAGTACATCTATGCCTCCAAGCGCGCGTCAGTCTCTTATCACAGAGCAGGGGAGGTCCTATCACGTCACAGCCCAATACCCCGCAAACACCTACTGCAACACCTTCATAGAAATACTTGCCTTGATAACATTTGCAGGACTACTAGGGGACAATTTCGGAATCTTTTTGTTAGTGGCATTTCAGGGAGAAAATTTCACTTATCACTAAACCTTCAACGAAACACCTGTAACCATTGAAATTAGGTCATTGAATAATTTGCATCAAATGTTACTGATAAAGATGTTTTCAAATTTTCTTTTCAGATGAAATTGGCTTTTGTAGAGCAGAGATACTTATCAGACAGCATTTTTATTCTTCCTGTGATTCTACTCCCAATTGTAATCCCAATTCATAATTGCAATTTATTTTCAGAACTTGTATTTTTAAAATTGTATCTTTTTTTCCCTGCCATGTTTACAAAATCAGATCAAGACAAGTTGAAATAATTCCACAGCACTATGTTTTCATTACCACATGGCCTGTGTGTCTAATGATCACAAAGTGATTTATTGGTTACTTCAGCAAGAAACACAATTGAGCGTGTCAGTGTTTTGTGTCAGAATGAATTGATTACTGTTGCGTGATCATTTGGTGGTTTTGTTGTGTAGGCTAAATGTGCTGCTTAAACACAGCATGTAAGTATCACCACATCAAGATACTGAGGGGAAATAGAAAAATGAGTGACCATAACTTGTTTGTGTCTTAGGGAAGAGTGTTATAAATTATGAAGGTTTTAAAATCACACAAATAAAACTTTTAGAGTCTAGCTGGGAGTACTACACTTTAATAGCAGTAGAGAGTCAGTCCTTACCAAAATCCTTCTTTTCTGGGAAATGTGGGATAGATTAAAGGATTATTCAAACTGAAAATTTGGGTCCATGTAATCCAATTCCATATGTTCATTTATTTTAAAGATGAGGTATGCGTGGTGACAATGGAAGTACTGGAAAATAATTTTTATATCCATTACTGCATCCTGTTTTCTTATTTCTATTAATGAATATTATTTAGATACGTGATGCTGTATTTATAGTCACTGTATTATGAAAATTAATCCCTGATATGTCTGTGCTGTTCTGTTTCAGTAATTAAGCTGTTTTGCTTCCTCTTCAATTTCTGTCTGTTATATACAAATGTTTATATTTCCTGACATACAGCTGCATAGTGAATAAGGAGTGCTTTCCATACATATATAATTCTTAGTGCTTTTCTGTTACATAAATGCTTTTATTTAGTTTCATATCTTTCATTATTAATCTCTGTTGCCTGTTCTAAAAATAATATTTGCTACCTACTTTTTAAGCAAAAAGCAGAATAAAATTGTTTTTTTTTTCTGTAATACAATTGAATTTGTAAATTCTGTGTAAGTCAGAATTACAAATATTAATTTAATTGTCTTATGTTTAATTTCCTAAAGTATAAGAGTATAAAATCCAGAAGAGTTCCAGTCTGAGCAGTTATTGAACCCCATGACTTTATTTGCCTTATTTTCTATGCAGTCCTACTTAACTAAGTAACAGTGTTGAGATTTAAACCTAAACAACCCCTTGATTTTAAAGTTATTTTAAGGTTTTTTACTAAGTTTTCACCACAGATAGCTAGTAAGTTAAACATATTTCTACATTTCTCTCTCTTCTGAGGTTATACATGTATGTATATATATGCATGTATGTATGTACTTTTATACAGAGACCAAAAACTGATTTATATTTGTGCAGAAATAATTTTGCACATAAAAACTTTTCTCTGTATGCTTTTAATCAAAATCACAAACTCATAGATGACAGAATTTGTCAGGATGTAGGGTTTTTTGTACTTACTGCTAATAGAGCTTAAGTATTTGTTTTCTTAATACACAAATTTGCATTGTTCTTAACAATATTCTCCTTTTTACAGCTGTACTCTCATTATTCCTTTCTCCCAAGAGTGTTTGGTTTTCTACAAGCTATCTGTTTTAATTATGACCTTGAAGTTTTATTATTAAGCAGGTTAGCCATAAATTTACACATGCAGTATAGAAATTGCTTGATAATTCAATCAACATTTTCAGTGACTAAGAAATCAGTATAAATGTTTTTTTATATTTCTGTTCTGACTTCCCTAATTCTATTTTTCTTTTATTACATGAGCTTGAAACAAAATTTATGGGATTTTTCCATTGTCTTATTGTAGAAATGATTGGGTTGCAACAAAGAATGAAGCACCAAGTGACATTTTTAGTGTATTTATTGCCCTATTTTGGAATCACCAAACACTGACGGACATTCATAGTACAGTGGAAATTAATATCCAAGTGTCACGTTTCACATCTTGGACCAGACAGACATTAACATTTACTACTTACATATCTAGAAAAAAAAAATAATAATGAATTGTATATTTGTGTCTTTAATACTATTTTTATTTATTTCACAGTTTAACAACAATGCTCAGAATGTCAGTTGTTTTAATCATCTTGTCCAAGCTAATGTGAGGAACAAGAAGAAGCTGAAGGAAGCTGTGGATAAAATCTCTGCTAAAGGAATTACTGATTACAAAAAGGGTTTTAGCTACGCTTTTGAACAGCTGCTGAATGTAAGTATGAAAGTCATCTCCCATTGCTGAAAGTGAGTTAGGAGAACTTGAATGCTCAGAAGGCATTTGCATGCTCCTCTGTCATCACAGATAATCAGTATGATACCTTCATTTAGCAAATTAATTTATCCCAGCAATATGTCTTTTCATAGTATCCTAGAATGACCTGGGATGAAAAGGACCTCAAGGGTCATATAGTTTCAACCCCCCTGCCATGGACAGGGTTGCCTACCACCAGACCAGGCTGCCCAGAGCCACATCCAGCCTGGCCTTGAATGCCTCCAGGGATGGGGTATCCACAACCTCCTTGGGCAACCTGTTCCAGTGTGTCACCACCCTCTGTGTGAAAAACTTCCTCCTTATATCTAACCTAAACCTCCTCTGTCTTAGTTTAAAACCATTCTCCCTCATCCTATCACTATCAATCTATGTAAAAAGTCGTGTAAACAGTCATTTTCTTTGTTGAACCTCCAAATCTTCACAGATTGCTAAGGTTTGAGAATAGATCTAGTTTTTACTTTGCTAGTTCTGTTTTTATTTTTTTTTTTACTTTATTCATATTGCAATTTTATATTTATTATGTTTCATGATTTATTGAACTTAGCTTGAGCAGGACAGAAAGAACACATGACTATTCGATAACTGATATTAAGTTTCTGGGAGAATTACTATATATTTCTCTACCTAATGGGCAAAATGAGCAATTTCCTCAAAAATTTAGTGCCTTGTCTTCATGTTTTGATGTCATTATGCATCCTAGTTTTCAAGCAGGCACTGGCTTTCTGAGTAGTAATGTTTTCTATTAACCACAAATGTTGTTCTATGAGCCATTTTTTAGTAGCTTTTTGTTTTAAAAAATATTTAGAAGAATCCTAGAGTCATAGAATCACCAAGGTTAGAAAAGGTATCTAGATCATCTAGTTCAACCATCCACTTACAACCAATATTACCTACCAAACCATGTCTATATGTTTCTTGAACAATCAGGGACATTGACTCCACCACCTCCCTGTGATCAGCGTGTTCCAATTCCTCACCACTCTGTGAGAATAAATTCTTCCTATCATCCAACCTGAACCATGTCTGGCACAACTTGAAGCCATTATCTCTCATCCTTTAGCTAGCTATCTGGGACAAGAAACTGACACCCAACTCACCACCACCTCCTTTCAGGTAGTTGTAGAGAGCTATAAGAACACCTTTGAGCTTCTTCTCCAGACTAAGCAATCCCAATTCCTTCAGCCACTCCCCATAAGTCTCATGCTCCAGAGAATTTTTTCATTTCATCTTCATAAAGACATACATTTGATTTGATTTTAACCTTAATGTAAATAAATTTACAGAAACCAACTTATAGAATCTAAGGATCTAGCTTAATAAATATGAAATGTATTCTTTTTAAAAGTTTTTGTTTGTTTGTTTGTTTGTTTGTTTGTTTTTGTTTTTTTTTGGTTTTTTTTGCATGATATCGCTCAGTGGAAGCACCTTTGCTTATTTTATCCTCCTTGTCTACCAGATTTTGGACTTACAGGAGTATTTCTGATATTATATATGTGGCTTAGGGGTAGAACTAGTTGAAAATTTTCTGACCTCATGAAATTTTGATAGAGAAAAGGAAAATACAGTGTTTCCAGTAGTATTTAGTCAGCAGATCAGTTTTGATTAACAAAGGGCTTTGTTGGAAAAATGATAGTGTGCTGTCTGCTGATAGGAGCGCAAATCTGCCTGCAGGATTCAAAAAGTTGTTAGACTTTCTCAGACTAGCCTTAATAACATTGCTTCTTTATTTCTATACATTGCCATCTCATGCAGAAGGAACCAGGAAGACACAAGAAATTTTGCCAAACACAAATGTTTCCTCGCAGCGTTTATATTTCATTAACATTCTGTATTGCATTTGCTGTAATACCATGTAAGTACTTTGTGTTCAGGCCATAAAAGAAGACTTGAACATGGGAAGATTCAAAGTGGACTTGTTTTAAGATTAAAATTGCTTAAAAAAATAATTAGGGATTAGTTTCGTAGTGGGACTGTGTCTCTGCCTACAGAGGTATAATTAATCTCACACAATCTCTGCAAGCCTGTATATTATGAATGGATATTGTGGATGGGTTTGTCAAGGGAAATTAAAAGGTTATACTAGGTAATAGAAATACAGTTATTCTTTCTAGCTATTGACAAATTCATTCAGCAGGAAGAGTAAAAGTCTGCTGATGGCATCAATGCCAGACTCTGATGGCAAGGTGGTATATTAGGTGAATATAATACTGGCTTAAACCAGTAATAAAAAAGATACTAAGGATAGTTTCTTGTTATATTTATGATTTCAAGAAATCCAACTGCTTTAAGATCAATGGTAATTGAATATTTTAAGCAACTAACATTTTTGTAAGAATTTTGATGTATCATTCTTGAAGAAAGTTACTTTGAAAAGTTTTCCTTCATACCAAAGTAATATTTTTCTAGTGTCATGAAAAAACGTGTTGTTCAGTGTACTGCTAGATTAAAATAAATACCTCAGATTTTTTTAACATGCTAATTCAACATCATATTAATAAACATCATTCCATAAGTTCTGAGGTATTTTTTCTGAGTATTTATTATTACATTGACTGACTGTTCCTTAGAAAATAATGTTTTAACTTCAGCAATTGATGAGTTTTTCCTTCATATCACATTAACTATGATTTGCCTTCTGTTCATCTATTCTTGATTCAGGTAGATGATTTTTGCCTTCCTTTACATTCTCTTTCTAGGTGGTATAAAATTCACAAAGTTTAATCCCAGCCTGACACTTAATGAGTTAATTTTAAGGATATAAAACTCATGAGAAGAAAAACTACACAATTTTAAGTACAGTATAAAACAGATAATATCTTGCTTACATTTTTGAAAGAATCTCAGATGACCCTCATCAAGACCAACAGAGGGCTGAAACCAAGTGCTTAGCCTTGGTTCCAACTTGTTTTCTTTTGAGGTTTATGCTAAGAAACCAGGTTTAAGATTTTGTATTAAATCACTGTAAGTGTACATGAGTTCCTTTATTAATGAAGTATCCACTCTACTTTTATTAATTTTTTTAATATAAAGAATATTGCAACCCAAAGCAGTATCTTGTAAGTTATATTTAACAATTAAAAAAGAGTCATAAATTATTTAATTCCAAATGAACAAGAGTGTGCTGATGAGACTGAAGGGAATGTATTGTTTGTTACTGTACGTAGGAAAATCATTGGATTTGCTTTTTGTTGTTACTGTTTTTTGTTTTTTTTGTTTATTGATTACATAAGTACTAATTCCCTGTACACTGACCTACCAATGCAGAACATTTCTGAGGCAAACTTACTCAACTATGAGTATAGTGTCTGCCAATAATGTTTTGATTTTTAATCTGCTGGTAGATCTGTGGAGCTGCAATATTGAGGATAACTGGCTGATGTTTGAGTGTTTGGTGTTGGGTCTCTCTGTTACAGAACAGCAACGAGTCATATCAGAGAGTAATGAAGGGGAGTGGGATCATCTCACTTGACTAGCTAGGTGAAAATTAGTCATTTATTCTATTTACAAAGACTAAAGCAAGGGAGGATTTGGTTCTGTGGAAAAATCACCCTACTATTTCTCTCTCTGAGTGTATAGTGAATTAATATAGCAAAATGTAGCTTATGGAGGGCAATGTTCATTTTATTCTACAGAATTTCTAAGTGTTTTACTCCTTCACATGCAGCTACTCAGAAGTACTGGAACATGCCTGGGTAGGATCTCTTGTATGCAACATGGAGTACAAGGAATGCTGGCTGTACAATTTAATAAAGGATTGTTTAGACTAGATAGAACTTTTCAGGCAATGAGGAGCTGTGATGAATGCCAGCAGAGGAGCCTGTGGCTCCTTTTGTAAGGAGCCAAAATTCCTTCATCTCTCTATTGTTCTGGCTTTGGAACTCCACTTTTATTTCTTTGCATAGTACATTGTGTTTTTCCCAGTGGCTTTACTAGTTACTTTGACTGCTGAATTAGGAGTCGAGAGGGCTTCTTCTCAATTCTCTTTGTTCCAGGCTCCTTCTCAAGAAATAATGAAGAGTCTTTGAGCAGAAAAAAAAAATGCATGTTCACATTTTTTTTAAAGTGCATACTCAGTAATTCATATTCAGTAATTCATTAGAAGGCTATTGTTTCCAAATTTCCAAAATGACAGTAAGGATGGAAAAGAGAAAATTAAAAATATACAGAGGCTGTCACTGTACGAATCTCAGATCACTGTAATGATGCAGAGCATTTGTAGAGCTACGCTGTGGAGATGATGTTGAAGTTTGGTGGTGGTCCACATTCATCTGAACAGATCTTAAAACTGTTGGACTTAACTGTCATACAATGAAAAAAAGTCTTTTTTGGTGGTTATTTTTTTTGGAAGGAGGTACTGAATAAAATGCTGGAAGACTTTTTAAGTATTTTCATTACTCCCAAAGTGCAGGAATTTTTCCTTCTGTTAAAGTAATAAACATTTTTATGTGAAAGCCATCAAATAGAACAATTGTTATTCTTTATAGCCTGAAATAAAATATAAGCTTCTGTTTGTATTCCTACAGCACAGTGTTTCTAGAGCTAACTGCAATAAGATTATAATGTTGTTTACGGATGGCGGTGAAGAAAGAGCACAAGAAATATTCCATAAATACAATGAAGACAAGAAAGTAAGTGATATATGAAAGATTTTCTTATATTAAGTACAATAGTGTGATGTGGAATGTTTAAATGCAGAAATAAAAGCATTTTGGTATGTGTATAATATATTATTTATTTATTTATTTATTTTTATTATTATTGAACTTTTGGGCACTTAAACCTGTCTAAATCTATAATATTTATCTGAAAAAAAAAAAAAAAAAAAAGTAAAGTATATTTAATGTTTGCACTTTGTAACTCACTGTTGTCAAGTGGTACAAAAGTGCATTAGCCATTCAGAATTAAATGCTAATGGCATTTTTCTTGCTTTACTGCAATCCTTGCACTATCAAGTGGAATCACAGGTAGTTAAATAATATAGAATATATCTTCTCACTGTGAGTATTTTCAATATGTTTAGTTGTTCATTAACCAAAGGCAAAACTAGGTCTCAAAAATCTGAATATGAACAGATCTAGAACAAAGCTACCCATCTTTCCCTGTGAGGCTAATTATGAAACAGTGTCTTAACTAGTAAAGGGACAGTTTTCTGGTGTTGAAACTTGATCTGTAATTCAACTAGAATTATGGACTTGACACAAAAGCCACTGGATTTTGTGCTGATCAGATTGGCTTTCCCACATGCGTGTGAAATAAAACAGGTTTATGGTTGTTTTCTACTATTTTTCAGGTAAATCATTATGCTCCGAAGATTAATTTATTTCTAAAGAAAAGTTAAATGTAAGCTGGGTTCATATGGTAACTAAGAACTTATCTATACCTATTGTATGAAGATGCCTCTGGATGTTAGATTACAGTTTTCTAAGACACCTTTGTAGTTGCCATGTATGTCTATGCATAAAGCAGTAGAAGTATTTCAATGGAAATGCACATACATTTGAATTAATCCCTTCAAAAGTGGAGCTAGGAATGCAAGACAATTTCCAAATCCACCAATGATTCACGTAGTGACTGTGAATAATAATTTTATGTCTGTTTTATAATAGTATTTCACATAGAATGATGTGATGGGATGTAGTTATTTTTTGTGTCTTCATTTTTAAACTGACAATTAGATGGAACAGTTGAAATCATAGCAACTCATTGTGTGACACACATGGCTGTATTCTGAAAGTATATGCAGAGATTCCTCTTCAAATGTGGACTTGATAGCTTTTGTTATATAACAAATGCTATAAAGTAAAGAAGAGACAAATGAGGGGGAGGATACATCTTATTATTTTCATTTAATTTGCTGTGTTAGTAGAAAAGTACAGCAAAATATCTAGTTCAAACAACGTAACAGATTTTCAGTGCTGTGATTCGTGGTCTTACATCATGCCTGACAATCATTCTGTGAAGTATAATTAATGAAATATAATTTAGAATGGCACTTTTACTGCATCTCTCAATACTGCAGATTTACACTGCTAAAAGTTGGGCTGTTTTGATGTATACTAGTATGGATACTTTTATATATAATACATTCTCACTTTCTTGTTCTCTCTACCAAATACATGTTTAGATTTTTTGTTGCATATAACAAGTGTGTAATGGTGGCAACAGTCACAGTTTGATTTCTGACTAGTTAAGTGTATTTTCATGTGTAATTAACTGTAGTGCAGATACTATGCAAGATCATTTTCCTACAAATTTATGTTCTGAGTATCTACAAATCCATATCTGTAAGAAATTATATTTTTTTATTGGGTTGTTAGATGCCATCCTTGCTGTTTTTCTCTAAGGTGACTTTGGAAATAAAAGAGACAGAAAAATTTGCAGGTATAATTCTTTCTCTTTATCAGTTTTCAATCAGAAACAATTCTTGTCTTATTGAAAGGAAATTTATGGTTGAAAACTTTCTAATGAAACAGTAAATTCATTTTTAGAAATAATAATAAAACTTCCCTGACAATTATTTGAATCATTCTAGTATTTAAATAATAATAATAATAATAATAATAATAATAATAATAATAAATCAATATTATATACATTATACAATATATCATATATGTATATATGAAATAATGAATAAAAATAATATTTTTTAAAAGTAAGACTAACACAAAATACTCTTTTGATGATGCTTTCCTTGGTTATACTACCCTCAATTCCAAATCTTGTTCCTTTTCTATCTATCTTCATGTAATTGAATAGAGCAAAGTAATAACAGCATTTATTAACATTTATTAACATTTATTAACATTTAATAACAGACACAATTTAAGTTGAAAAAATAATATAATTTTAATTTTCTCATGTAATAGTCACATAGCATTACCTTCTTAGATCACACAGTAGACTGCCTCCATGATCAGATATAAGATTTTATGTGAATCTAGATTCTGTTGTCCTGAAATTTCTTAAACTTAGTGTTTTCTCTTGTTCAAACAAATGATTTCATTCAAATATATTATTACTTGTTTTCATCTTTCTTATGTAAAATGTCTTCAGCTCTCTGCCTATTTTCTTCTTTGTGTCATTAACTTTGTAATTCTTTCCCGTAAAAGAAGTTTAAATGAATTTTGTGCAGTCAGATGACATGATTTAGTACACTTGTTTACGTTACCCTTAGTGCCGCCCTCTAAGTTTAGAAATGAAAGGATGCAGTAAGCAATTTAAAAGTACTGAAAAGCATCTTGGATTCCAGTCTGGAAAACTGCTCTTTTAAATTACTGAATTCCATATATTTGGATTGGGATGTAGGTATACTTAAAACAGTTTTCTGTCTTTACAAATCAAAGAATGAAGAGTATTTTAAAATTTATAAAACTTTCTTTGAGGAGCAACTTTCCTAGTTTTCATCTAAAAAACTTTTTTCATCGGAAAAATTACAATTATATTTTACCTTTGTATGGCTTTTTCCCTCCATAAACCCAGATTTTATTGTCACAGATTGCAACTATATGCTGTACTTGATATTTAAAAATTGGCTTGTTTACCTTTAAGGTGACATTTGGGGCAGTCACATTAAATGTGTGAAATACCACGCACTATGAATTTCAGGAATGTGGGTGGTAAATTTGCTTTTTATTTGCACTCATACTGCAGATGGCTTCACTGAAGATAGCAATATAAATTCAATTGAAATACAGGCACAGTAGGCATTCTCCATCCTAAGAATTTTGAATTCAGCTTAAAAATAGAAAACTAATACAGTCTTCGGGGCAGACTGTGCACACAGAATTGCTCAATTTATGTGAGTAGGAAAAAGATCTTATATGCAGCTCATATATGCACTCTCAGTTGTCTGAAGTTTCCTGGCATGACAGATGTCTTGGGTGGTCAGATGAACTGATTTCAGTTGGGGGAGAAGCACAAGGTCAGCCTCGTGTCTCATTCTCACCAAATTATCTGTAATGATTAATACAACCTCATGGCATTGTCATTTGAGAAGAAAAGGTATAAAGAGAAGTGTTTCAACAACTCAGTTATATTATAAATAGTTGTGTGTGGTGGGCACAGAGCTGCTACAGTGATGGAAGCCCAATGTGAGGAGGCTCCAACCTGAGAAGTTCCACAAAGAAATGTAGGACTATCAAGTGTCTTCTTTCAAATGTGACGGATTCAGTGTTTCTGTTGAATGATATAATTAAACCTCTATGAGAAAACATTTGCAAAACGTTCTTCTAAAATAAAAAATTCCTTCTGCTCTCTTTACCAGAGGAGGGAAGCATTTTTTTTTTCATTGGATTGCATCTATTATAGTGCAACTGCATATCGGTATGAATAAAAAGGATAAATATTTAGTATTAATCTAGGCAATGGTAGATGAGTCATTCCAGACAAGCCTGAAAGCATTATTTCTGACTACAAATGACCACTGAGAAAGCTGATGACATTTCTACTTGGGATAGCCACGGGATTCTGATTAGGTGTCAGACTGAATAAATGTAACTTTCTAGAGTTACTCACGAAGCTGAAAATAAAAACAGTATATTTCTCAGCACCAATATCAACCTCTGATGGGGCTTAACAACTACCAAAGTGTCAAAGCTCTTGTGTTTCTGTGTACCAGATCTGTTACACAGGATACAGCACTAAGTAAGGAAATAAGGGACTGAAGTGAGCAAAGTTCTAGTTTGTCTGAATAGCATGTAGCATAATCTCATAGATAAAATAGCAAAAGTGCTAAGCCAGTCTTTAAGCTTTCAGTTTTTAGATTGTTATCTGGGCCATACTGCATTTGCCTTCTGCGTTCTTTAGAGAGGCAGAAGCTGTTATTTCTCCCTAGACAGCCTCCTTGTGCTTTGAATTTTAGTGATGGTACAAAGAATCATCCCAGGATTTCCAGCCGGCTGGTTGAACTGGCTCACTGGCTCCTTCCCTAATCACTTCTGTCTTAAGAGTGTGTCCAGCTCTTAATTTTAATTTATTGTATGCACTGTGGCTTTCACAACTGGTAAAGCTAGAACATTCTGGGTAAAAATTGGGTCAGTACTCACACATTTCACAGTCAGTTCCTTGTGTTTTTTGTTGTATGCTTTCTTTTTTTTCCTTTTAATTAAAGTGGCAACTGTTAGTAGAGAGCCTGCTGCAGAAATATCTTATTCTTAATGTAAATTATTTTTTTTACCAATTTCTTAGCCCCATTTATTTATGAAGGATTCACAACATACTCAACAGATGTCATTTAATTAATGAATATAAATATTCCATATCAGTAGTCTTCCTCCTGTGACAGTTACTATTTGGAAAAACTTCAGTAGTAACTAAACTGCACAGTACTAGGTGGTTTAAGGTCACAAACGTGTAAATCCAAGAAATATGTATATATATATTTTTTTCAAGTGTGATATCAAGTACACATCTTTCCTCGTTTACCTAAGTTTTGAGACACAGTTACCTGATAGTGTGAAGCTTCTTCCTCCATTCAGAAATAAATGATTATTAGAAATATGATGATTTAAAAATATATATATTTTAAAAATATCCCTTTAGGAAGAAAGCTGCACTGATGTACTCCTGGCATATGTCCATTGCCTGGCAATGCTGTTGCATGTGAGGAGTCTGCCACAGTCTTTCC